CTGTCCCAGAGGACACAATACTGTCTAATTAATCACCACTGTATCTCAACACAGTTCTGACCCAGAGGAAACAATACCGTCAGATTAATCACCACTGTATCTCAATACACGTCTGTCCCAGAGGAGACAAAACTGTCAGATTAATCAACACTGTATCTCAACACAGTTCTGTCCAAGACGAGACAAAACTGCCAGTTAATCACCACTGTATCAGTACGGCACAGTCACAGAGTTGACAATACTGCCAGATTAGTCACCACTGTTGGTTGTTGGTTTATACTGACAACACTACTGTCGCTAACATTGCACTTAGTGTGAAAACAAGACCCCAGATAAAAAAAAAAATTTACTGTAAATACCAACTGATAAAGAGAATCTTAGGAAACACGAGAAAAAACCTGAAATCATAATGAAAAAGAGCAAAAATCTCAGCAGCAGTGTCTGGGACTACTGTTGTATGTATCTGTCACCACCCTGTGGAAAGAACCATTATTGCGGTTGCCTGAGCTGAGCGCCAGTGCAGCATCCCTATCAGCCAACTGCACTTTTAAACTCAAAATTACTCTGCTGCAAGGTAAATAAGGTACAAATTTAAGAGAAAGTAATAGCATACAACACATAGCAGTAGATATCAATATTGTAGCGTGAGGCACTGTGTCTCAGAAGAGTTAAGATTTAGTCTAAGTTTTCAAAGATATGGATTTTGACATGACTACATCTACATCTGTGTTTCTGTATTTCCCTGCTCCTGCACTGCTGTAAATTCTCTCACCTGCAGCAAGTACTCAAACTGGTAGATGCACAGTCCCAGCTCAGCCATGCTGGGCTTGAAGAGCTCCCTCAGCCTGTACTCCTGCATCAGACGCACAAACACACAGAAGGCCTCCTCCTCCGGCATCTGTGCACAGACAGGGGCAGGAACAGGGAGGGAGAGGGAGAGAGGGAGAGACGGAGGGAGAGACGGAGGGAGAGACGGAGGGAGAGACGGAGGGAGAGAGGGGGAGAGGAGTGAGAGAGAGGGAGACAGTGATAGGGTGAGGAGGGCAAAGAGGCATATGGGGATGAAAAAAGAGAGAGAAAAATACTTTGCCGATTACAGGCTCCACACTTTGTTTGGAGGAGGGAGAATAAGTCCACAATAAAGTTCTGGATCTGTGTGCTGTGGGCGGGGGTACAAGTGATGCAGGGAGGGGGAGGGGGAAGGGAAAGGGGAAGCAGCCCTCGGGAAGGAGGGCTGAGCGCGGCAGGGGAGGGAGACGGAGAGTGAGACAACAGCGCTGCCCGGCCCCGCCTGTGGCTCAGTCCATCGCTGTCTCCGCACGGCTACCTGCATGAGCAGCAGTCCCACGATGAACGCGCTGCCCTGGCAGTAGCCCACCTCCCGGTCCACCAAGGAGTAGGCCTGGAGACAGACAGAGGCGCCCAGTCACAGCAACGCCTGCACTCTCAGCTTTTTACCACTGCTGGCTGTACACTGCAGACGCATCAGTAAAAACGACACAGCACTAAAAAGACACTTCGTTTCTTTCCGTTTCGTCAGTGCTGCTGGATAAACCTGAAAGGACCACACTGCTGTGCAGCAGGAATCTCCAGTTCTGTTTCCCTGTGGGATTTTTAGCAAATACTGAGCGTGGGGCACATCGTCTCCGCAGCCCCCCCTACCTTCATGACATTGAAGAGCACCTCCTGGCCCAGGCTGTCCTGGCCCTTGAAGAAGTCGTGCTCGGGGTAGGTGCGTGCAATGTCCCGGCGGATCAGCTTCTCGCATGGAGAGGACATCTTCAGCAGCTCCGAGTACTGGTTCTTCACCGGCATGTCGGTCGCGTTGCACAGCAGCTGCCAGACGATGGCCCGGAAGTGGTGGGGGATGCCCTTGCGGATCAGCTCCTGAGAGAGAGGGGAGACAGCTAGGTCACATGTATAACAGCAGCTCCCTCCCTCCCCTCTCTGTCCCTCCCCTCCCTCAATCCCTCTCTCCTCTCTCTTCCTCCTTGTTCCTCCTCTCCCTCAATCCCTCTCTTCTCTCTCTCCCTCATGGCCCTCAATCCCTCTCTCTCTCCCTCCCACATTCCGTTCCTCCCCTCCCTCAATCCGTCTCTCCCCTCTCTCTCCCTCCCCCACTCCCTCTCTCCTCTCTCCCTCCCTCCCTCAATACCTCTCTCTCCCTCACTCCCTGTTCCTGCCCTCCCTCAATCCCTGTCCTCTCTATCCCTCTGTTCCTCCCCTCCCTCAGTCCCTCTCTCCTCTCTCTCCCTCCCCTCCCTCAGTCCTTCTCCTCTCCCCTCCCTCACTCCCTCCCTCTTCTCTCTCCTCACCCTCCCTCACTCCCTCTCCTCTCTCCTCACCCTCCCCTCTCTCCTCACCCTCTCTCACTCCCTCCTCTCTCTCCTCACCCTCTCTCACTCCCTCCTCTCTTCTCACCTTACCTCTCTCCCTCCTCTCTCTCCTCACCCTCTCTCTTCCCTCTTCTCATCCTCCATCTCTCCTCACCCTCCTTCTCTCAAACCTTGAGCAGCTTGTCCTTCTTGCGTCTCCACTCCTCCCACTCGTTGACGATGCGGCCCCACAGGATCCAGGTGTCCTCCTCCAGGTGGCTGAGGTTGCTGGAGGCGGAGGAGCTGGACACTAGCGAAGAGCCACTGTTCCGCCGGGAGCCACTCATGGAGCGCATGGACTTGGAGTCTGCCTCCAAAAGCCTGAGAGAGAGGGAGAGAGGAGGAGAGCAGAAAGGAAGAGGGAGGGGGAGAGAGGGACACCGGAGGAGGGAGAGTGAGAGAATATGAGGTGGGACAGAGAAGGAGTGAAAGAGACAGAACAGGAGGTGGAATAGAGGATGAAAGGACAAAGAAGGAGGAAGGAGGGAGAGAGGAGGAGGAAGGAGAGATCATATGAGGTGGAGAAGTGGAGGAGGGAGAGGAAGAGGAGGAAGGAAGGAGACAGGAGGAGGAAGAGAGAGAGAAGGGGGGTGGGAGGTGGAGACAGGAGGAGAGAAGAAGGAGGGAAAGGAGAGAAAGAGAGATTGCTTGAGACTCACCTGTTGAAACCTGAGAGAACATATGGTAAAGGCACAGCCTCTGTTCTACACATACAAGTCCCTGCAGTGAAGGTACTGCTGTTCTAGCAGCAGCAGGGAGCACAGGGAGTCCTTGTCTGAACAGTACAGTGCCTGTATTGACAGTAGAGTATCTGTATTAACAGAGCAGTACCTGTGATAGAAGACCTAATCAATAACAATACACTGCTTGTACCGACAGCAGATATTAAAAGTGTGGCACCCGTTTTCACAGAGATATGCTTCCTATCTCACCTGTTCTGCTCCTCCAGCTTGGCCAGCAGTTCAAGCTCATCAGGGCTCAGGTTCTCCGAGTCGGCAGGGGAGCAGGCCGGCGCCGACAGCATAGCATCTTGGGAGGAGGAGTCAGGGCTGAGGACGGGGCTACCAGTGGATGGGGGATCTGGGTCCAGGGCAGGAGGTGACAGGGATCTCTCGGGGTCCTGCTCTGGGCTTCCTGCTGGATCCGAGTCCGAGGGAGGTGGGGGGCTGCTTCTGGGGCTGGCCATAATTGCAGCGCTGCACTCTGGGTAGGCTACGGGGGGGCAAGGGTTGGGGCTTCCTCCTCTCTCCTCTTACCTGGCGCAGGTATCACAGCACCTCACGTCAGCTACACAAACAACACAAGGAAGAATGAGCAGAAAATTGTCTTTCACAAACACATAATGGAAAGGATCTAACTGCTGCCTGACATCCCGATGACATTATTAGCTATTCGTATACTGTATTCTGCATTCTCCCATTATAAAGAAACACTCCATATGTTTACCATCAAAACCTTGGAATAACCCAGTTCAGTGTGTGCCCGGGATTCCAAAACAGACTGCTGACACAGTTCTCTCAGGACAGACTACTGACTCAGGACTCCCTAACACTAGGCTTCCAGTACAGACTACTGACTCATGGCTCCCTAACACAGAGCTCCCAGTACAGACTACCCACACAGGGAATCCTAACAATGGGCTTTCAGTACAGACTACTTACTCAGGTCTCCCTAACACAGGGCTCCCAGTACAGACTACTGACACAGGGTTCCCTAACACTGGACTCCCAGTACAGACTACTGACTCATGGCTCCCTAACACAGAGCTCCCAGTACAGACTACCCACACAGGGAACCCTAACAATGGGCTTTCAGTACAGACTACTTACTCAGGTCTCACTAACACAGGGCTCCCAGTACAGACTACTGACACAGGGCTCCCAGTACAGACTACTGACTCAGGGCTCCCTAACACAGAGCTCCCAGTACAGACTACCCACACAGGGAACACTAACAACAGGCTTTCAGTACAGACTACTGACACAGGGCTTCCTAACACTGGGCTCCCAGTACAGACTACTGACTCAGGGCTCCCTAACACAGGGCTCCCAGTACAGACTACTGACACAGGGCTCCCCAACACTGGGCTCCCAGTACAGACTACTGACACAGG